TAAGCGTCTATTGGAGGGTCAGGGATAGGGGAGAGTCATGGACTTGGAAATACGCGGAGGGTTCCGTCCACCGCCTTGACTACGTCGCTGTGTCGAATATATGGCGGAGTACACAGCAAGGCACTGATGTCTGGTATGACATTGAAACCTTGCAGACCCGCTGCGACCATGTCCCGGTTGTTTGGCACTGCAGCTTCGACTGTGCGCATTCGCAACCGTCAACAACTTTCAGACGTATTTCCTGTCGTCCTAATGATCTTGATCCCGCGCTGGATCGTGTGCAGTTCCGCACAGCACTGACCACACGTCCTCCCGTACCCTGGACCTGTGGGGTCGATGACCACTTTCAGCACTTCACCCACACGTGGATCCAGGCAGGGCGCCGTGCTATGCCCAAGAAGGCACAGCGACCGCAACAGACCTTCCTGACAACTGCCAGTCTCGACCAGATCCGTCACCGCAAGGACTTGCGCAATCGCCTCCGTCTTGCGGAGCAAGAGACCGCTAGGCGGCGACTTGTCCTGGGTTTTGCTGCTTTCACACTGCTGCGAGCCGGACAAGTACTCGCCACAACTGATGCATATGCAACTCGACGGTGGGTGCGCGCGGCTGACCAGGACGTTGCTAGGTATTGGTGTGCACTCAAACATGCCGTGATCAGTGTCAGGCAAGCTGTCAATAAGGCGGATAGGTGTGCATATCTTCAAGGCCTAGTGCGCGATGTATCCACTGCCGGCGTCAAAGACCCTAGGCACCTGTTTTCCTGTGTCAGGCGAGCATTCCCGAAAGCCGCACCCGCAAAGCGCAATAAGTTCACACCACTTCCAGCTGTCCAGCTCGCAAATGGCAACATGGCCGCCACAGCACAAGAACGAGCAGACAGATGGCGTGAACATTTTGCCGCCCAAGAACTCGGGCAATTCATTTCAGACGGTGCGTACTCGGCTACATGCAAGGTGTGTGCCGGGGATAGGCCCAGCGTCTTCGACTGGCAACTCCTGCCTACCTTAACCGAGGTCGAGCAGAGCATACTTGGTCTCAAGCGTGGCAAGGCCTGTGGGCAGGACGGTATCACATCAGAGCTTCTTAAGCTACATGTGGATCTTGCAGCCCGTTCGCTGCTTCCCCTGTTTACCAAGAGTCTCCTGTCCTTGTCCGAGCCGGTGGAATTCAAGGGCGGCTCCCTTGTCACGCTCGCCAAGAAGATTACTTCTTCCCTTGAATGCGACAAACATAGGAGCATACTTGTCTCAAGCCTACCAGGCAAGTTGCTGCACAAGGGACTTCGCCGACGCCTTCTTCCCCTATTGCGAGAGCATGGCCACGACTTACAAGGCGGCGTGCAACCAGGCGTAGGTGTCGACTCCATCGCATTGTCGGTACGGAGTTTTCAATCATATGCCTCCGCCATAGGTTGCCTTCCGGGACTGATCTTCTTTGACGTGAAGGCCGCCTACTATCAAGTCATTCGCGAAACGCTCACAGGAGCTGTCCCAGATGACAGAGTCATTCTTGCCCTGTTTCGGCGCTTAGGTGTTCCTGATGAATCCGTGCCAGAGCTCATGAATCAGCTCCAAAAGCTCAATCACTTGGCTGAATGCGGAGGTTCGGAACACCTCATTGCTGCCACAGAGGAGCTTTTTGCGGGCACCTGGTTTCGCCTTGACCAGTATAGCGAACTCGTCACCACCAGGGCCGGCGTTAGGCCAGGGGACCCGCTCGCCGACATTTTCTTTGCTATCAGTTTCAGCGCATATGTCCGAGCTGTCAGTGATGAATTGCAGGCACGGGACCTACATACTGTGCTCCCACCGTGCAAGACTGACCTTCCCCTAGCCGGTATGCATAGTCCCCGGATCCTTCAGCCAGCTTCTTGGGCAGACGACTTCGTGGTGCTGACTGCTGCCCGAGACGGCAAAACCCTGCTGGAGCGTATACAAGCTATCACCTCCAGTTTTCTGTCCCGCGCCACAGCTATAGGCATGCAGCTGACTTTTGCCAAGGACAAAACAGCGGTTGTTTTGCCGCCCAGTGTCCATCATTCATCGCACGACTGCATTGGAAGCAGCCCCGATAATCCCGAGGACAAATTCCTGCATGTGTGGGATTGTATCGCACTGCGTTACCAACAGCTCCCTGCAGTGCAAGCCTATAAACATCTTGGAGGGGTAGTCACAAGCAGTGCGGCAATAACCCCGGAGGTGCATCATCGCTACTCGCACTGCACCCGTGCCCTGCGATCCTTGCGAGCCCCCCTCTTTGGGAATCCCAGTATCCCTGTGGAAATCCGCAGGTACTTGTTGGGATCGCTTGTTGGATCCAAATTCGCCTACGGATCTGCTGCTCTGGAGCTGCATGCTTCCAGCCACTGGAGACTCTGGGCTCGGCTTTACACCGCGATATGGCGTGCACTGCGTCCTAGAGCCCTTGCCACGGAGAAAATGCATTCCTATGAAGCTTTGCATTTGGCACAGGCTGCTTCACCGCCTCTCGCATTGGCCAAGACCAGAGCCGGGTTGTACCTAAGACTCCTCGAACACGGGCCCTCTACTCTCGTTCATCTCCTTTGGTTGCAATGGGAAGCTGCCCCACACAAGGCATGGCTTACGCAACTGATCGACGACATCAAACATGTTGCCATGTACCGCCCGACAGTCCTTTCCCTGCTGACAACGTCGCAGCCTGTCCTTGCCCTGACCGAGGCCCTGCTGCAGGATAGAACGTGGTGGCGGCGCCATATTGTAGCTGCCACCAAGATTTTCCTTATAGATGTGGCTCAATGGAGAGAACGTCCCGGAAAAACAGTCGATAATGGAGTCGCGGACATGCCGTCAGAACCGATTGAGCATGCATTTCCCTGCCCCTTTTGTGAGGCTGGATTTCCTCTACGCAAGCATTTAGGTGTGCATATTGCCAGGGCGCATGGGCTACTGGCGCCCGCACGCCTTTTCACCCGGCACCCTACTTGCTTGGCATGCCTCAAGTTCTTCCACACGTTGCCTCGGCTCCAAAACCATTTGAAGGGATCCAAGTCGTGCCTTAGCCGCACGAGCCTTCTTGTGACACCCATGCAGGTCACCGAGGTATATCAGGCCGAGGCTGCAGATAAAGTGCTACGGAAAAAGATCCTTGGAGGGGAATGGCAGCATTTTGCCGCCGCACCGCCCGCGCTCCAGGCCTCCGGACCCAGGCAGCTCACCCGTGACGAGATGTTACATTGGCTGGGCGACGAAGCGCCCCTCAGCATGCTACGGCGGCCAGTTGCAGACCCCGCTCTCCTAGCCTGGGTCCAAGCGGAGATCCCAAAAAGCAGCACCGAGCCTCCTAGGACAGGAACGTGTAGCTTCTGGGCCTCTAGAGTCTGCTGACCGTTTACGTTTCACCGAATTTATTTGCATTTGGATGCGTCTGTCGACTCTATCATCCGCCCAGAAAAAATACGGGGGTTCCTTATTATAAGTATAGTATAAAAAGCCCCAAAACCCTATTCTCATTATTAAGGCCCCTATATTAGATCCCCAACCTTATTCTGGTTTATGAAAAGCAGGCAAAGCACGAAGCCCTGCTTGGTCAGGCCAACTCAATCCTAAGGCTTAGAAGCCTCGAATGGACCGTGAAGCCTTGAAATTCAAACGCCCTATGCGACAACTATCAGGACCCTACAGACCAAGGAAAATTCTGCATACCTAGTCATCTGTATATATCTACAAACGAAACTGCATATGCAGGTATGTATACCGATACACACATATGTACATGTGTGTATAAATAAATAAATAAATTTATATATATATATATATACATACACACACACACAAAACGGTATGTATGTACGTATGTATGTATGTATGTATGTATGTAGCTAGGCAGGTAGGTAGGTAGGTAGGTAGGTAGGTAGGTAGGTAGGTAGGTAGGTAGGTAGTTAGGTAGGTAGGTAGGCAGGCAGGCAGGCAGGCAGGCAGGCAGGTGTGTATACATACATACGCAGTTACATAAACAAGTGTAAGCTGTAGCTTTATCCATGCGTAGGCCTGCGTATACATACATAATCTAGGTCTTAAATGACATTTACACATACATAGGTTTCTACGTAGATATGCAACCATACATGTGTTTGTGTGCCCAATGAAACCCCGTAAAGCCGTTTAACAACAAAGAGTCGCAGCCTACAGAACCCTAAACCCTAAACCCCCTAAACCCTAAACCCTAAACCCTAAACCCCTAGGCCCTCAACCCTAAACTATACAGGAGATCACAGAAGCCATGAAGCAAGAAGATGAGCAAAATGCTGCCGCGGCACCGGATGCCGCGGCTCCAGCCGCCAGCGATGCGGGCTCGTCTTAAAGGCGCTGCTTGGGATTCTTTCTGGAGCGGAGGGGTCAGAGTAAGCAGGGCATTTCTGCATTGCGATTTGTTCAGGGTCTATGTTGACAGCTGCTATTCTTCCTGCAGGCTTGCTTTGTTCGTGAATTTATAGTGAGATCCTTCGACGAAAGTACTGCGAGATGTATCATGTTGGCAGCACCGAACAAGGAGATCCGACGGCCACTCATACACGTTGCAGCAGGCTTTGAAGGACAAGAGAAAGCACTTTTGGGGAAGCTCAGCTTGTCGGAGAAGCTGGGAGAGAACCGTGAACCCGAAGCCAAGATGCTCCAAGTTCTCGCCCTTAAGGGTTGAGGTCAGGGTTCCTTTCAAGGATTCCTTTGTAGGTTTCCTTCAAAGGGTGCCCTTCTCGGATGTTAGGTCATTCAGCCCACAGCTTCCACGTTCTTCTTGCGTTCTGCACCCAAATCCTGGCAGGCCTTGGCGATGATGGCTGATGGGCTGATATGCCATGAGGATCCATTGTGGGGGCGCAGTTACTTAGAGACGATATCGTCTGTAGGAAGTTTCAGACTAGGTTTGGGATGGACTGCTAGTGCCTCGTTCAGGTCGTCCCCAGGTTTGCTGAAGCTTTCAAGGCTCGATGGCTGTGTGGGTCCAAGATTAGCGATAGAGTGGGGCTATTGCATGGTGAATGTCAAACTCCACCTTCAGGATTTGCCAAACTAAACCCACCTGTCTGCATCCCAAGCCTTAGCGCTTGAAGCCCCGGAGCTTGAGCTAGACTCTGCAGGTTGCGAAGTTCGCTTTTTTCATGCAGAGCCCGAGAGCCTGAAGCTCAATCTGATAGAAAGGAAGCGACATAGTTTTCAATTCCCTAAACCCTTGACTAACTAAGTATCTGGCTCAAGCACCACAGGGTTCAGGGAGCGTCTTGTGGGTGTTTCGGTTTGGAGTCAATGCTTCTAGCTCTTCTCGTGGAGTTTGAGTTTCGGGTTTTTGCTTACTTTGCCAGTGATAAGCCCTGAAACCTTATAAATCCTAAACGGTCCTAAACCCTGTACACCGGCACGTGCTGAAATTGTGAGCAACTGCGCCACGCAGATGAAAGCGCGGCGTGCTGCCGCATTCCTGACGCCAGGCTGAAACGCCCCAGCAACCAAATCAAGCCATCACTCTACGGCTCTAATTCACGGGTCGGTCGTAATACAATTCCTCCCCGAAAGCCCCACTCTAACTCTATTTCTTCAGGCCAGGGTTACTATACCCTGCAGCCCTTGACATGAAAAGGTTGTAGGCGAAAGTCGAGGCTGAAAGTGTGAAGTCTAAAGTTACAGTGCGTAGAGCCTAGAGTCAGAGTTCAATCAAACTCAGCTCATAGGCTAATATAGGGGCCTTAAGAATTAGAATAGGGCTTTAGGGCCCATTGTACTACAATTATGATCAGGAGCCCCCAAAATAGCATTGGTAATTATTTTAGGCCCCTACATTGTACATCTCACAACGGTAGAGGTGGCCGATGAGAATCCAGTCTCATAGTCCGCTATGCACCATCTTGAGGCGTTTCTCAGGGTGGATAGGTCTAAGGGTTGGCATTTAGGGTTAAGAACGCCTCCATGGAGGCGTACATGTTCAGCTACAGACCCAATGTGCGCCATGCAGGTTTTGAACTCTAAGCCACCTTTGGAAATAGCCCCAGAGCCTAGACCTCGAATTGCTAACTCTCTCCAAACCTCAACCCTGTCGTAAGCCCAGCCCCACATCCCTAAAACTCGCAAAGGTGATGAGTAGAACCTTATTCATCCGAGCCTTGCTCTCAACATGAAGTCCCATGAACCACCCCTGAACCCTAAACCCTAAACCCTAAACCGCGCCTTACAAGGGCACCAGCCTGGCTGTCAGAGCCAGAATTTTCGGCCCCCGGCCGGAGGGCCTTGAGCAGCAGCCAAGCTGCTGTTGACACCCAGCCTCTCCGAACTCTCGAAATCTCGTGGTCGTGATTAGGGTTCAGGGTTTTATAGGGTTTATAGGGTTTAGGGTTTAGGGTTTAGGGTTTAGGATGGCGCGAAGACCAGGATCCCCGAAGATTCCCTTAGTATTGTAGGGGCCCATAAATAAGTGCTATTTTGGGGGTTCATTATTCTGAATTTAGCATAATGGGCCCAAAACCCTATTCTAATTATTAAGGCCCTTACATTAGCGCTCCTATGCTTATAGACTACAAGGGTCCGGGTGGTTGCCGGGTTTAGGATGAAATTGGGCTCGACAGCCCTTGGGGCTGCGATCGTGCAAGGACGTCTCGTCTATCATCTCGGTTTAAAGAAAAGTTCCCGTCCCTGCAGACTGAGACAGCACACACTGACAATCATTCAGAATTTGAGACATAGGTTCGAAGAGGTCGTTTCACTCTGCATGATGCCAGGGCAATACCTCACTAGCAGCGCAGCCTAACAAAAACCATTGTTCCATACACCCTCAACGCTGAAAGGGGCTTGGGGTAAAGGTCGGATCTTAGATGCATGATCCATTGACTTAGAGACTTAAAGCCAGCGATCCTATCATCAATATCGGTGCAGAAAGTACGAAGTGAACGGAACATTGCTTGACCCCATCCCATAGACGTCAACCAGGAAGTTCGATCGGAAATTCGCATCAAGTACGACGTGGACGCAAAACTGTTTGATGCTATCTCGTGGACTTTAGTCAGAGGCAGAGGAGAAATGGCCTCCGGGCATCAAGTATATGAGGTGGACAGAAGGCTGCTTGTTGCTATTTCACTTTAGCCATGGACTAACGAAAGAGTGTCCGGTCTGCAAGTACCAAGTCCAAGATTGCTGATTTACGGGTGTCTAGCGTTTATGCCCAAGAAATCCGACTAACATAGACCATGGTTGCTGCGGCCACTGCTCACCGCCCAGCTTGAGTTTTGCGCATCTTTCTCCGCATTCCCTGGCATCAGCGAGAGACGGCGTGCAGCGCTTACGTTGCACATTGACATTGTGGATGTCCAGCGAATGCCCGGTTATTCGAGCCTGGCGACCATTGGCTCCTACATTGCGATTCAGCCGTTAGGGTTTAGGGTTTAGGGTTTAGGGTTTAGGGGTTTAGGGGTTTAGGGTTTAGGGTTTAGGTCCTGCAACCCCACGTCCTACATCCCGGGTTGACATCCACAAGCCCTGAACTCTCAAGGTCTTGATTACTTTGCACCCCCCAAAAAGCCAGAGAGCTACGATCGTAACTCAGTGCGCGGAGATGTTGCGCAACGGTCGGCATCGGCTTTATACTATAGGTGTTTGACCCTTGGGATTGGGCGCAGAAGGTTTCGAGGTGCGAAGACGCTTTGGGGCGTGGGTTTGGAGTTTATAGCTGGCTCGTAATTATATCCATAACGATATTAATCACAAATATGCAAGCAACAAAAAATAACACTAACAAGTAATATCAGTACGCATAACACTAGTAGTCAATAAGAATAAGACGAGGCATACATGTTGAATTGAAACCTGAGGCTTAGCGTGGAGGCCTTGATCTGGATGTCCGCGCTTTTCAGACGGATGGCTCCTGCAGCGGCAAAACCCATGAGTCCGCTGAAGTGCTTATCCTGGGTTCCGGTGGAGTACCATGCTTGAGTACTTGTTTTCGGAACCTGTTCCTTAAATGAACCACTGTGGAAGAGGTTCGGACTTTTTTCCCCGTTGTTACTCCAAAGCCCGGTATGCTGAGTAGTAGAGAAGGTAGCCTTTGACCTTGATTTGGGGTATTATCATCCCTAGAATCCGATCGGTCAACTTTTGAATAGCTCCGTTAGGATACCGAGCAGCAGGCTGAGTAATTTCAATTATCATTCAATAAGCTTCTTTCTTTTGCTATACTATAATAATCAAGTCCAACACACACTTCTGGCTTTTAAGGCCCCTATGTTGGCTTTTCAACCGCTTGAAGGTGTTTATATGTTGTTCTTGATTCTTCGTCTTAACCCTAAACCTCGCCA